TTCCTTCCTTCCCCTGCTTTCAAATTTAGATGGTAGAGACTTGGGATCTTTTGCTGATGCTTTCTGTGACGTGCCACGTACATTGGTGCTGTATAAATGAATGATCGTAATATAAATGCTTATTTCCTATTAGGCTGGTCCATGGCCAGTTTGTTGTATCTTAATAAAATGGCTTCAAGGCTGTAATGCTTATGGTGGACACGTCCCATTGCACAAGAGTACTGGTGCAATAATCAAGAATGGAATTTGTAGAATATCTACTTTTATATGGATTCAGATTCTCCTGTATTCATGCCATCTTAAACAATTATATGAAGAAGCATGGCATAGAATCATTTATAATCATGGCAGTAAGAATTTTATTCTTGAAATACTAGAGGCTGGAAGAAATATAAATGTAAGATAATGGGAATGAATATGTGGCTTTTGTTAAAATCAGTGCATTGTATACAAACCAAAGGAGGAAGACAACTTCAGTGCCCTTTTAAAAAACTGATAACCCATTATTCATTTTTGGAGAATGAATGTGCTGGGCATAGGTTTGGTTTATGTTTATGATCCTAAAACTTTTTACCTTCTTTCTTGAGCAATGTGATTTTACCCAGAATGAGCGTTGGTAGCTTGTGAGGTTGTGCAGCAAGCAGGAATCTGCCAGTATCCCCCTCCTTCCTTGGAACCAGTCGCCCAGGTGCATTGCTCCTTGGCCGTGCATTTGGGTGCGACATCACTTGAAACTGGATCTTGACTGTTTCCTTTCAGTTGACAGTACTTCTTGCTGGAAGACTTTTTATAAAGCACCATTTTGTTAACAACGTTAACATGGAAGAAGGATTAGTTATATGGGTGATAAGGAGAAGTAACTGATGATGCAATTTCTTGCTCTGTCGTTTTCACTCTCCCTGTCTATAGAAATGTGTTTTAGCTTTGCTCTTTCATCTCTAGTGGCTTTCCTTCATTTCCAGATTATTCAGAGTCAATTGCAGAAGGACTGAAATGTGTTAAAAGACATTTCTAAATGTTGTTATTACAGCATAACTTAAAAGCAAGAGAATGTTAATTACATTAAAAGCAGTTTCTCCTATGAGCAGACATGTTAAGGAATATATAATGTCTTGTTGTTACATTTGTCAGCTTGCCAAGATGGAGGCTTCCATAGAATAATTTAGTGTTCCATCCAGGAGAACTTCACCAAACTAACTTCTAACAGTTGTCTTTATTTGTGGACAATTTGTGTCACTTGTACGATGTTGCTTTCTTGTCAAAAGATCTTTGTAATGGCACTTGACAGTTGGGGAAATCAGAAAGTTAGCCAAAGTAAGTGTGTAGACTTGTAGGGTTGAAAGATACAATGAGACAGTGAACTTGCTTTCCATTTTGGAGGAGTGTCAAGACCCCTCTTTTTAACGTAGCTTTTTTTAAGCACTGCTGGTTTTTAAGGTTGCTTAAAATGTATGCATATTTGATTATGGTTTTTATTTTCTGACTTTGCTGTTTTTGGCTTCAGAAAGAGGGACAGAAATGTATCAATATATGCACAGTAATAGGGAATGGCAAAAAGGCAGTGAAAGTCTTTAGCCAGTAAAAACCTTACACTGGTGTTGCACATCACACCCATTTGCCACACTTCCAAGCAGTCTTTCACAATGTGTTTGAGTGAATAGATGAAAAAAGAGGGAATTCTTGTTGTTGTTGTTGTTGTTGTTTTCCTCTACAATAACTTGTAGGAATTTAAACCCTAACTTCTGTGAGAATGATAGTAGGTAGTGTTAGGGAAGCCAACATTATCCTCCTTTGTTACTCACGTGGCAGAGATTGAGGTAGTGCTCATCGAGAAAGTTTATGTTAACCGTACAGTTCCAAAGAGCAAATTATGCACAGTAAAACGGAAAAGACCACTGAGAAGCAGCAAGATGGGAAAGCGTTGATTTGACATTACCAGCTGGTGCCATGTGGTGTTTTTGTGAGGCAGGCAGGACAGCAGTGCGCAGGCTTACAACTGCTGGTGAACCATCAAGGCAGTCATGTTAGGGTTTTGTTGGACAGTCAGCAGCCAAGCTCCATACTGCAGTGTCCTGCATTCAGTGCTGCTACCCAGTAATAAAGGCATGGAAAATTTCCTGCCACTCCCCTCTTAGGAATTTTTCTCTATTTCTTTGTACCATGCTACCTCTCTGGACACTGTTGGGTAGAGAAACTGAGAAATCCAAGGGTAGCTTGTGCCCATAGCCCTTTTGCTAACTTTATACAGTCAGTTTATCCTTAAATCAGGTAATTTATAGCCTCCTTTATTTATTTTCCCATTCTCTGTATCTCACCATTTCTCTTTCCAGCCTTCCCCCATCCCATCCCACATGGGGGTAACATTGCCATCAGCAGCCAAGCTTGCTTTGTCATGGAGTCTTTCAGTGGCAGTCTTCTGCCATTTCTATGCTTCCCTCTCCTTATCAGCCAGATGCTTCTTCCCCCAGTCTCTGCCTTTCTATGACCTTTCTAATTAAATATGTTGACATAAGTAAGTAATCCATGGGCATAACTATACTCACCATTTTTCTTTTTTGTAACACATGTTCCTGAAAGAAAATCTGTGGACAGGTTACTTGGAAGTTCGAGACCCACCACCTGGTATCAGTGCTGTTCCTGAATATTACAATCTACTAGGATTGAATTTACCACCTGGATCTCAGAAAGGGCTAATACCTCTCTGAGGGAGGGCATAGGTTCCATTTAAAGAGACAGGAACTAATCCTGTCCCTGCCCCCACCCCCCAAAAAAGGTCACATTTGGGTTACTTGATTAGATAATTACCACCCAGTAGCTAATATATTGGCCTTATGTAAATCACTAGAAAATGTGCTGGCTTCTCAGCTCCAGGTGGTATTAGAGTATACCAATAGTTTTAATCTCTTCCAGTCTGGTTTCTATTCTGCTTTTGGGATAAAAACAGCTTGGCTGCCCTGATATATGGCTTAAACTAGGGAATGGACTAAGTGAAATTCCAGTGTGTTGCTTCTATCACTTTTGGCAGCTTTCAGTACCATCCGCCGTTGATGCTCCTGAGTTGCCTAGTCAAGTAGGACTGAAGTGAAGCATATTAAAATAACAAAAGTGCTTTAGCCGTAATACAGGGGCCTTGCTTCAGCTGATCCAGCATGCAGCCACTGGGCTTCTTATGGAGTCTAAGCAGCTAGAGCATAGAAAGCAGATTCTGTATCAGCTGCACTAGTTCCCAGTGCATTTCTGAGACCAGTTTAAAAGTGCCAATAATCTACCTTGAAAGCCATGGATGGCTTAAGATCAGGTTGGTTTGAGGACTGGTTGCACTAGTATGAACCTGGCTGGCTATTTGATGTCCTGTTAATCTAGACATAAAGAGGAATTGTAGGCTTTGTTGTACCCTCTCAGCACTTAATTTGCAACTTGCCTACAAAAACCCTGTGAAATATAGCATGGAAGTCTAGAAAAGAACTGGATGAGCACAAACAGTCCTCGTAACTCCACTGGGAAGCTCAGTTATCAGCTCTCAAAACACTGACAACTTTGGGTACAAGAACCTAAACAGCAGGAAATACAAGCATGCATAGAAGACTAGATGAGGCAAATTGGGTATGCTTCCAGGGAATAGCCCAAGGGGTTCAGGATGCTTTCAGCTAGGCAAGTCCAAGCCAGACTGATACCTGTATCATTGGAAGCTGCTTTATGTCAAGTCAGAGTATTGGTCCTTCTTACTTGACGCTGTCTGAGATTCTCTTCATGGTTTCAGTCATAGATCTTTCTCATCCCTACCTGGAGATGCCTGGCTGGTCTTTGTGAAGCACCTTTTAGTTCTCGCAAAATCACCAGGGGATCAGTGAAATTAGGTTATACACCAGGGGTCCTCAAACGTTTTGACCAGGGGGCCAGTGGAAAGCTGCCGGTGCTGGGCGCAGGCTGGAAAGGTGGGGCCTGGTTGTGCACGCGGGGCGGGAGCGTGCTGGGGTGGGGCAGTGCGCGAGGCGAGGTACGTGCGGCAAGGCGAGGCGGGGGCAGGCATGCGCCGCGAGGCAGGCACACGAGGCAGCGGCTTGCTCGCTTGGAAATCGCTTTCTCCGAGTGAGCACACCGCTGCCTCCCGCATGTGGGGTGAGGTGGGTGGCTGTGGGTGCGTGTGTGGGTGCGCGTGCGGTGGGTCCAAATGGACATGGCGGGCTGGATAAATCGGCATGGCGAGCCAGATCCGGCCCCTGGGCCGTAATTTGAGGACCCATGTTAATACACAGACGCACGCACACATACCCTGTCTGGAAACCTAGAGCTGTATAAAGTCTGAAAATTGATGGGGAAAAGTTTTTCTAACTTTATAATTCCACAGATAAAATTTAAGGTCAAAATCAGGTTAAGGACAAGACCCATTTTTATCTACTTACTGTGTGTCAGTTCCAGAAGCCTGATCTGTTTCACCTATTAGGGAGAAGCAGCGATACAGGATTCCTGTTAAGCATTCAGAATTAATTCTGTCCTTTCTTTGCTTGCTTGCTTGCTTGCTTGCTTGCTTGCTTGCTTGCTTGCTTGCTTGCTTGCTTGCTTGCTTGCTGCTGCTGCTGCTGCTGCTGCTGCTGCTGCTGCTGCTGCTGCTGCTGCAATCTAGCTCTCTTAGAGATGAAAAGAACGGGCAGGAGATGATGGCTCAGGGTAGCTAGCATTGGTGCAGCATTTTGTAATCTCAAGCAAGTCATGTTGTTGAATACAAAGTATGCTGAACTGTCCAGCTCTGCTGCCTTGGCTTCAGTGCAGGATGCTACCCCAGACACAGCTGTGCAAAGCTCCAGTGGCTGGAGCCAGAGCTAGGACTGGGCTACAGTTCAAGTCAGCCTTGTCCTCTTTTGAGGAGCAGGAGGAGTTACAGGCTGAGTTCATGCGTTTCACCAGTGCAACCTTACACAGTAGTATTGAATTTTCATTCTTGGTACTGGAGTTTGTGAGCATAACTTCTGACTTCTTCCTTTCTTAAAAACATGTTTTAGATATGGGAAAATTGTATCCACGAAAGCTATTTTGGATAAAACAACAAACAAATGCAAAGGTGAGTTCATTGTTCATTCTTTTTTCAACTTTGGTTTTGAAATGACTTATGATTGTCTTTTTAAAAAGTTAATTGGTGTTGCATTACATGGGAGCATTTGTCCTTAGGAAAGTTGGAGCGGACCCAGCATTTAAAAGTGTGCCAAAACTTCTGATGACTCCAGTCAAATTTAACATGCATGGCACTGTTTGGCATTTAGCCTCTGCTTCAAAGAAGAAAGGGGAATTTGAAAATGGTATTTCCTTGCCTGCTGAGATGAGAAGTCTTTACAAAAGACTATTTGACTGCACAGAGTATCTGAAAAGATTACATATTGTGTAAATTGGCTTTATTAATTAGAATGGACTAGTGTTAAGCAGTTCTTAATTGCATGTTCCAGTCCTCTAATTGTGTTTGTGTTCTGTTCCTTTTTGAATATAATAGAGAGAGGAGAAAGGGGTTTCATTTTCACTGACATAATTATAGCTAGAAAAAATAATAAACTTGTTTCTGAGACACTGGGTGCATTAATTTAGTTTATTGACCTTCATCATTCATTGTAATTATGATTAGATCATTTCCTAACATAATGAGTAGTAGGTAGAGCAGAGTGGCAAACACTGACATATCAGGTTTCAGCCTTTCTTTCCAAATGAGGAAGATGCTTTCTAAGCAAAGAAGAAACACCCACTAACTTAGCAATATTAACATTGACTCCCTCCGAGAACAGGGACCAAGTTGACAACTAAGAACAAAATAAGTTTAAGCTCCTGATTAATTAAATCCAAATGTTTTATTCAGAGGCTGTATTTTTTCTAGGGCATAGAAAGACAATATTAATCTCAAAGCAGAGATACTACTAATCTAAAATGCATATTTGTCAATAGTATATTTATGCCAAAGTTATAGTCTTACTTAAATATGATGTCTCTCTCTCTCTCTCTCTCTCACTCTCACTCTCACTCTCACTCTCACTCTCACTCTCACTCTGTGTGTGTATGTGTGTGTGTGAATAAATAGAGGGTACTTCAACTAAGTTGAATTTATTGGGACTTGATTCTGAGTAGGTATATAAAGAATTGCATTGTTATGATGCCATATGAGTTTAGAATCTTTTCTCCTATTTTTATCCTATTCCTGTTTGTAGTTTTTGTGTATGCCTCAGTTTGCAAGAGGTGAATTGGGGGAGTATTTGTACAAATCCCTTGCAAGAGTGAACTATTTTAAGTGTTCAGTAAAATATAGGAACGTCTTTGAAAAAATTAGGGAAACACATTTGTCAACTCTCATTCCCCTTACAGAGGAAATTCATCATCTGCAGCAATGCATGTCATTTGCTTTGCACTGAGATTTATATTGGAAATATTATAAATCAGAGCCCTATTTTAATCTAAATAATTTGTCATCTATTACAAAACATAATTTGCATCTTATCAGGACCATCAGGCTGCTTCTTACATTCTAATGTCTCAGCCTGAAGCATACTATACTATTTCATATGATACTTTAAAAAAGAGGCTACTTTATATGTTCCTCTAGAATAGTGAAAAGTTCTCAAGCTTCTTAAACTCCTTTGAAATCCGTGCATTATACTTGTCTATTATGGTATGCAGATCAATAGCATGAAGTGACTTGAAGTGAAAGGTGAAGCATACTATGCTCTAGACTAGAATATGGCAGTGATGTAGGGCAGAAAAATTTCCACTGCTACTTTTTTCCATGGAAAATTTTCTATTTCTATAAATCCATGCAATCATAAAAATTAGAGACATTCAGAGCTGACCCTCCACAAATGGAATGGCTCTTTGTACTGGCAGAAGCATCCAGGATACAATGAAAATCTGTGGAATTCTGTAGTCTCTTGGTAGATGCAGACAAAGACTTCTGGCACCCACTCTCCAGAACTGTCCAGAGCAGGTTTTCAGGGGCAAAGGAGACTGCAAAGAGGAGGGTGAGTTGGTAAAAACTCACCTGATCCTCTTCACCTCCAATGAGATCATCCAGTTCTGCTCCATGCAAATCTGAATCCAAACTATCATCACTAAATACAATACCAGGTAACAATTCCTAGAAAGTAAATGTAGATAAATCATACATAGTTCTTTAGCTAGGTACAGTTAGGATCTTGATGTCCTTCCGGGCCTTTACTTGCTTCAGAAAATAATATAAAGTGATATATTTAAATCTAATCTATACAAATATTATAATAAAAAGATTTCCAACGAATTTGTTTGGACATCATGTTTAATGCATATTAATCGTATTTTATTCCATCCACCTACCCCCTTCAAATATCTCCATTCAAATACTGTTGATAAATTTTTGAGATCTTATTTATAGAATGTAAAATGGCTACAGCATACCTTTTTGTTAAATAGGTATGCCTCATGAGTTCCCAATGGATTGAGGACCCTTCAAACTTTTTCAGGAAAAAAAATGATTAAGATATCTCTGAATAGCCATCGAGAAGAACTGGTTATTACTTCTGTGGGCAATTCCTCAGAATGCAAGCAGAGGAAATAGAAAATGCACTAGACCTTCCATACCCTTAATGTAGTGTACAGAAAAGGTTGTGAAGTGGCTTATTTAAATTAACGTATGTGTGCCATCTCATGATTAGTATCTTTAGTCAAGATCTCCAAGTTCCCATTTGGTGTGGTTATGAGGACAGTCTCCAGCCCCATCGGCAGCACGCACTCTTGTTGTCGTGTTCCAAAACTTGAAAAAGGCCCTTGGCAAAAATTAACATGATTTTTTCTGAATCAATGTGTTGATATATGTAGTGATACTGCAGTGCATGTAGGGATAGCAAGTAACATATAATAAATGACTTTTTGCCATTCCTTTCATGATGAGAGATCACTATTCATGGATGAATGTCCATTATATATTCAGTAGATAGGGAAAGAAAGAGCAAATACAAATAAAAATCAAGGCTGCAGACAGTAGTTTTATACACAGTAGTAAATGAGGAGTGTTTTTAAGCAGTTCTTTCATAAATGGAGTATGCTTCAGTATAGATATCCACAAACTAAAACAAAAGTGATCTCCAGCCTGGTATAAGACTGAGGACTGCACTGTTATTCAGTCAGCTATTAACTACCACGTTTTCTTAATACTGGGGTTCTGTTATGCATGAATGAACCACTGGCATGAGAACATGATGTTCAGATATAATGTTTCTGGCTTGATAAACTATGTTTCAATAAGATGAAAGCAAATGTCAGGTCCACACACATGTCCCATATCATTCCCCATCATATAATAATAGTTGTGCTTCAATTTCAGCAGCTTTAAAATACAGTTTCCCATGGCATCCAGGATTGAACCCCATGCTGTAATGTTGTTTTTCTGACCTGAAACTTCGTTATCAAACAGATATTGAATCATAGTTGGCTGCTTAGAATATAATAGAAAACGGCATTTCAAAGCAACCAGGACTGAAGAACCAAAGTCATTGCAAGTGAGGAAGAGGAAAGACAAGGAGGAAATGATCAGACCCAACACTTATTTTCAACTTATTAAACCTGTAACCATATATTCAAAAGATGCTGGTCCTTAACGCCATATCCCACATAAATGAATCTGAATGTGGAATACATTTAAGACCTATAGCAATTATTTCTGAAAAGACCATTTAAGCCTATAAAACAGATTTCTTAGGTGCATTAAGCTTACTTTAAAGAAAATGGGTAGGAGATGTAACAGTCAGCTTCACAACCTCACTTGAGGACAAAATGAAGCATGAACCTTCAGGTAGAATGGATGGAAAATGAATTTTTCAGTTTTTCTTGTTCAACAAGTAATTGATGTTTTAAATTTCAGGTTATGGTTTTGTAGACTTTGACAGTCCAGCTGCGGCTCAGAAAGCAGTATCTGCTCTGAAGGCTACTGGAGTTCAAGCACAGATGGCAAAGGTAAGATAAATGCTTTTTTGACCACTGAAAAGGTAACTGCAAGTAAAGCAAAAATATCCCTTATGGAGAAGGTAAGAAGAGGTTCCTCCTCCATTTGCTCCATCAAGTCACCTCCAACTTATGGTGACCTTATAAATGAGAGCCGTCCAAAATGTCCTGTCTGTCACAGTCCTGCTCAGCTTTCGCAAAATCAAGGCTATGGCTTCCTTTATGGAGTTGATTTATCTCATATTTGGCCTTCCCTTTCTTCTTCTACCTTTGTCTTTATCTAGCATTATTGTTTTCTCCAGTGAGTTTTGCCTTCTCATGATGCGCCTGACCAGGGTAGGAACTGATCAGGCACATAGTACATAAATGGACTATAGTCGAAAAGCATAAAGGGTTAAATCCCTGTTTCCGTATAAGGATCCTAATCCAGATCAGGCCTCCCATGCTATAACATAGCCATTTGCTTACATATTCAAGGTAATGTTGAGTTTGGCTCTAAGAAAGGCCCATTCAAGTCATGCAGCTGGCAGAGGTTCTTCTGCCTTAAGTGCACATCTGATTTGTAAATAGTACAAAAGAAGAAGCATGTGGGGAAAGGGGAACTTTCACAAGTATTTAGTAAGACATTTCTTGAACCTCTCTGCTTGTTAAAGTCACTTGATGTTGATTTCCCTGTTGACAAGATGGGTATGTCCTGTGCATATACTTTTCTGCCATTCTTTATATTTGCTCTTCTAAGTGTGGAAATTTACTGCTACTTAAAATGTTCAAGTGCTTAAACTTGAGAGTTCTTTAGCATAAGTAAACATGAAATGGACCTGGTCTTCCTTTAGTATCACTTGTGTATGTTCTTAAGTATTGTGTGAGCCAGGCAGCCTTTTCCGCTGGAGCTATGCTTTTTTCCAGTTTCTCAACTAAGGAACAGTGGAGCTAATAACCTGAAATGTCCTTGGATACATTCCAGGAAAACAAAATGAAAAGCATATGTTTATTACTTAATGCATATTTTATCACATGTATGCGCAGTTGTTCTTACTGAAGTCAAATGAGATGAGCCTTTCCTGAGTTGCGGATATTTTGTAGGTTTTTACGTTAAATGATAGTGTCATACTATTTAACTGAAACTGAAAAGCAGCAACAATAAAATCGCATTCAACATTGGTGATAATGAGCCCCCTCGTATAAATTTGGGTGCAGATTCATTTAAAAACAACAGTATGTTTTCCAAAGTTTGTTGGTGTTCTCTCAAATGAAGGGTTATGTCTCCTCTCAAACTGAAGGTTGAGAATACATTATGGTACAAATTTGGAAGGCAGCAGCGCTCTGAAATAAGCAACTGTGTGTTATTGCAATGGGGGAGGGTGTCTTGTGCACATTACCGTCTGCTCAGATGGATTCATGCAATTCTGAAGAGGAGGGAGAAGGTGAGCATGGCTGGGGGGCTGCCAATTTCGAGGTTATCTAGTGAAGTTTCTCCAGTAGACTGTGAGAACCACCCCACCTTGGAAAGGAAGGAAGGCTTTTAAGGGCTGGAGTAGGAGAGGACACAGAAAGCTCCTTCATCAGGTCAGGAGACAACAGGTCAAGGAGCAAACTAGTTACGAAGTATTCAGCATCCACACCATCTGGCCCACATCCAGTAGCTGCCATTCTCAGGGCGGAGTCCGAAGCTGTACTGAAAGGAAGTTTCAGCTTTTACATGGGTAGAAACCTGTCCCACAATTCAAAGCGAATGCTACTCAGATTTATGCTATGCTGTAACCAGTTAAGTTTTAATAAAAGAATTGTGTTTCTAAGGAGTATTTTGAGTCTGCTGAAAGAATAAGAAAGAGGGTTGTGCCATGTTTGTAACAGTCGCAAAACATCTTGTATTATGGCGTATATTCATTCACCCCATAAAAGAAAAACTGTGTGTGGTGGATTTTTAGGAGCACCATATCAGGGGACATAAAGTTTTCTAGTTTGTAGAGAAAACTTCATGCATCATATTTGTAATGTCTGCAGTGTAATTAATTACAATATATCTGGTTCCATAGTATTTGTCTTGAATAGCACGTCTATCGACAAGGAAGATAGGACAGAAAATGTACAGACTTTGCATGCGAAGAGAGTTCCCCTGCTAGAACTTTTTTTAGTTTTGTCACGCAGAAGCATAATGTCCAAGAAGGATAGCAGCTTAGGCCTCATTTTTACTGGCTTACATACATGTGTCAACTCTGTATTACTTGAAAGGGTAGGCGGAAACTTACAAGTTCTTTATTTTTTAAAATAGAAAGGTACCATGTCAAGGTACTTTGTGGGGACAATTGCACTGAGCATAATTCAACCTTCAAAAAGGCCAACAGAAATCCTATGGCTAAGGAATACTATGTTTTATAGGATTTTTTTTCTTTTTAAACTTACATCAGGTTACATCTTCACTAAATTAAAATTAAAGCTCCTTTTGCCAATACAAAACATTTAAAAACTGCCTGAATTTTTCATTATTAGTTCTTTCTGTATGCTTTGGTTCCTGCCAGTAATGTTAATGGAATAAATCTAGTATTTCTGGTGTGTTTTCTTAAAATTCTGAATGACATCTTCATGCCAAAAATTGTGCTCCTATTGAAATGGCACTTAGGAATATCTCCATTCTAATGAATTGAAAGAAACTCTGTTTCAGATTTCCTAACTATGTTCTTGTTCCATGGTGTAGCGAGAAATAAAGACTCTTTTCACCCATGCTCCTTGCCTTGTTTGAATGGCACTATAACCAGGAAGGAGATACTGTCTTTTGTGTACATACAGAGATCTAAGAACAGTATGAATGGCATACTCCTTTTGTTTTTAAATGGAACTTTCTGGTAGCCATTCCAAAATGTCAATAATGAAATTGATTTGAAGAAGATCTTGTGCTGAACATCATGAGGTTGTCTGCAGCATTATGAAAGTCAGTGCTGAGTCGAAAGCTCTGGAACAGTTTTATCAGAACTGCACCAGTGTCCCCAAACCCTAGTATTAGTGAAGATTTGCTCCTTTAATTTTTTCCTACTTGAGAACTCAATATGCTGTAAGCGTAGGGAATGTGATGTCAAAATGTTGAAAGAATTCAAAAGGGAAAATTGTCTGGTTTTTGTTGCAACAGCCTGTGAGTCTTGTGGCACCTTAAAGGCTGACAGACTGGTTGTGCCATGAGCTTTCGGCAGCTGTAGACCACTTCATCAAATGCATGAAATTTTACCTGCCATTGGCAAGTGCTGAAAGGGTTGCACAAGCACCTTTTCTCATCTCCCTCAACTACAGAAGCAATATACCATACTGGATCCTATGGTGTTGGCAAACAAGCATATACATGACACGTCCTTCTGTTGTTGTTTGAGATGTTTGCTAGTGTTGGTGCCCACCAATTCTACTGAAAATGTTTCAATACAACATTGACTTTTTCCTGTTCTTAACATTTTTATTTTGATCTCATAAGATTTGAATGTCCTAGTATTTTCACACTTGATTTCTTTTAAGTTAGCCAATTAAAAAACAACAACAACCCTCTATCTTGAAGTGATGCTGACACAGGAAGATTTGTTTGTTTCATTCCATTTTCACTCATTGTTTGGCATGTGGTTCACAGTAAAGTTATAGTCCCATTTACCTGGGAGTAACCCCTTTGACCCTATAGAACTCAGTAGTCATGTACAGGATTGTGCTGCAAAAGTGAAATCTATAGGATTAAAAAAAAAGACTAAAACAGTACCCACTGAGAATGTCTACCTTGCAATGACTTGTGAGATTGTAACACTCATGCCCTGCTTTGGCATACTAGAGTGCCTTCTGTAGAGATTATCAATCATCAGATCTACCTTTTCGTACCATAGCAGAAAAATATCAGTGGGTTAAAATGCCTCCCCCTTCCCCAAATTCTGGAAAGCTGAAGACTGTTGCTGCCTCAGTTAGCTGGGACTGCAAGCTGGAGGAACTGAATGGAAAATAAATGCATTATGTCCAGTTTGCCTGAAAAATGGGGCCTAATAGGACATGTGGAGGACCACTGGATTTAATAATGATATATGCCTTGGAGGCAAGTGTCCTTCAGCCCTACTTACTATCACCAAAGAGTCTTAATTTGACAAGTAGACTTTCCCGTCGTCATGTAAAAGACAAGGAGCCGCAGAATCAGAGATGGGCTTCCTCTGAGCCTAGTTGTCCACTTCTGCAGTAAATTAGCACAATCCCTGCCCCCCCCCCTTTCTTCTAATGTTCCCTTTGGCAGTTAAACGGAAAACCAAAGTTAATATTCCTGAGGAGAAAAGACGAACATAATTAAACTGCTGTGTTAACAAATGGGAAGATTCTTGATCGATGACAGGGATAGACATATTTAAGAAATATAAAACTCACTTTGAATTCAAGTTTGCACTGCTTAATAGTGCCTGATTAAACACGATTTCAGTAAAGTTCCGCAACTTGCGAGCCGTATGTGAAAGCTTTCCTACAAGTACCAGAAGTGTTTGTTCTGCAGAGCATCAGGAGAGCGTCCATGTTAATCTTTTTTGGACGGAGGAGGAAAACACTTTTACTAGTTTTAATAGAGGAATAGACAGACCAGCACCATATTCAGCATTCAGCATTGCATGCTTTGCTGCTGCTTTTTGTACTGCAATTTGCCATGAATCTTTAAAAGGGAATGCAATAATAATTCATCTAAATTAAGACAAGTGATGCAAAGATTTTGCAACCACTTTCTTTATCACTTTCCAGTTTTACAAAGAGGGAAGGAGAAATGCATGCCCTGGCTCACTCAGGTAGGCAATAGCTTCAGTGCTCCCATTATACTGTAGTCTGTTAAGCAAATCTGTAGTAATCCCTGTTAATCTTTTTTTTTTTTTAATTGTCCAAGGGGCATGGCTATCTAGCTGACTTTATAGTCGAATGTATTCTTTGCTTTTCTATATAACAAGTAGCATTTAAACAGCAAAAATCTGTTAAAACTAATAATGGTTTTTGAAATATTATCACAGTTTTTTTAAAAAAGAAGACCATACATGACAACATCCACTTTAATGAAAACTTGACTTTGTAAATTATCTGCGAGCTGGAGAAATCCATCAAAAATTTACGTATCAGCAGAAACTACAAGGGCCAGGAATTTGCAGAAAATTAAATTGCTTCTGTATCATCAAATGAAAAAGGCACAAGCAGTTTTCCAGTACAAATAATCTGATGCCTATAGTATGGAAATGGCACTAGATATCTGCATCCTGTCCTTTAAGGTTCATACATGAATATATAAATTCTGCTGCAAGTATAATATTCCCAATGTCAGATATTTACCGTTTTGTGCACCTATTGCACCTATCATAGATATTAGAGATAATACAAGACACCAGTCCAGACCAAACAAATGAAAGCATTTTAACATACAATACTTTGAAAGAGAAAGCGAGGCTTTTAATGATAGTGATTGTAATTGCAGAGTTGAGCTCTGCATTCTAAACAGTCCTGGAGTACAATTATTCCAGCTTCATGCTTCATGTAGTTTTAAAAAGGAAGACAACAACACATATGATTAAACAATTAACCTTTCAGCATCACTACAATGTTCATTCTAACCAAAATTACCTTTGAATATTTATTATCCTTGTGATCAATGAATAAAAATAATGGCCACGCTATGTTTGGGAGAGAGAAGCCAGCTAATCAGGGAACTAATGTAGTCCTTTTATTCCTGTAATTTTACAAGCATCGCATTTCATGATATACAGATATCTACTTCATTCTGTGTATTTGTGCTGAATGGGTCGAAGTAAGAACTGATGCTGTCACAGCTAAAGCTACACAGTCTGCATTTTAAAGGGAGGCACCTCTTTAGTGGTGTACATGAACGCTGTTCCCATAGGAATGGAGACAAGCCACAGGACTTAATCCCTTTTGCCAAAGGATCTTCCATATTGTCAGCAGCCAGCATCCCCGGTCACATGTTTCTGAATGGCTGTAAGCTGTGACCCTTTGCAGAGCAAGAGAAAGCAGATGTCTCCTCATGCTGCCAAGCTGATGGCGTTTTTTCTCCCCCTTGCGTGTTAGGAACAGTTCCACACACAGAGACTTTTGGTAATTAGTTTCAGATGACAGTTAGCAGTCTTACACCGTGTACAACCTCCAATCACTACTTTTTCTGTTCAAGTGAATGCTTGGAGCTGACTCTTCGGTTTCTTAATAAATGGGAACTGTAGCTTTATGCTTATTAGGTATTTAATTGCTCCTGTGGAAGAATAGTTCTATGCATATGGAAAAACACTACCTTAAATCAACCATGCTTTGTTATGCTTAAGGAAAAACAATCAGTTTAACACTGTGTTACCTTCTTCCTTTTTATAGCAAAAGTCCTGGACAGTAGCAAATGACATTTTCTGTTGCTAAGCACCTAAAAGTGCAGCAGCTTCTGCTTTTTTACTGGACAGGATGTGCTACAGATTGCTGAGGCAAAAACTATAAAATGTGAATAATTTTGCAACATGAGGATCCTTGCATTTCCTCACTTTGGAGAACAAGCACATGTACTTCATGTGTCTTTCCTAAATGGATTGTCCAAGCTGGGAGGATCCAAGGTGCATTGTCTCGGACTTAGTTTAAACTTATATTTCAGAATAGGAGAGTAGGCTCAAATGAGCATTCATGGAGTGCCTCTTTCTGTTAGCTGGATCCAGAGAAAAGTGTGTATATCCCCCAGATCCCTGAAAGGTTCCCTGAAGGGTGGCAGGGCCCCACTCAGTGAGGAGGGCTATTCCACAGGGAGCTGAAGCCAAGGAAGAATCCACTTTGGAAGGGGCAAGTTCTTTATGTGTAACCAGGTTTTTTCCCAGTCTTCCATGATAGAATAAGCTGGCATGTGTGAACATGGTGGACATGTGTGTGTTAGAGCGGCTTAAAAAAGAGACAGACAAGAGAAATACATATGCACTCACATGCATGCATAAACAGAGTAATTAAAAATATACTTAGAGCTTATGCATCAGTGGCTGTAATATTAAATAGATACCAGGAATGCCTAGAAAATAAAAAGGAGAAAATAGAGATCTGGCCAGTATAAAGCTTATGAATTGTCCTCTAGATTAAGATCATATAGACTAAATTTGTAGCCTTTTCCTTTCTCTCAAGTATGTTGGTGACCTTAATTTGTTCAGTAGGAAGCAAATGGAAATCTGAGAGACTATGTGCAGAAGATTTAAAATGTCTTGCAATGGGCTAGTATTTTAAGAATCACAGTTCTGTGGTTACAGAATCTTGCTGCATTGGAGTTCTACCTATGTATATGTTAGCTAGAGCTGCTTTGAGAGGAAAGAAGGCAGATGGAGGAAAGAATAGAAAAATACAAATGCAGTATTTATGAACATGGTTGTTCCAAAGATTTAGTTGGAGCATGCAGAGTCCCCTTCTGTCTGTAGCTGCCCCCACCAGCTTCAGGGACACTTTTATGAGGAAATTAATTATGGTAATCATGAGTAGATTTACCTTCTACTTCCACACCAAAAACTTTGAATCCAAATCAATGAACCTGACACACTCAGAGCCCAAGGCTAACTGGCTAGGTAAAGCTTTGGAGACATGGCAGCACTGTAGCAAGTTTCTCCTGTCAACTTTCATGTGAGTCCACCTAACTGATTATAATTGGGACAATTGATTTTTAGAGTGAGGGAAAGCAGCATGCCCTTCTATTTTTTATTTCTGATGGCATCATGCAACAAATATGTTCCCTTTTATTTAGGTTTTTTTTTTCTCCTTTGAATGTAATTGTAGGAATAATAATAGCTTACTTTGTCAGAAGAAGGAAGAGCCTCATGCTGTGAATACTAGTAGGACTGAATAGATGTAATCATACATTTTAGCCACAGCCATTGCCCGAGAGGAGTTTCATCGATCTTCCAGTAAAGTTTGAGAGACTGCTGTTTGACTACTTCAGAATTAAAGGTTTGCTGCTTGCAGTCTAGATGGCTTTGCTGCTAGCACCACTTTATTTGGAGGCTTCAGATGCAGAGTGAGTCTAATGGATGCTAATCTGTGTTCCAAATGTTCAATCATTTTTCTAAAAACTATTTTTAATTGTTTTCTAGCAACAGGAACAGGACCCAACTAATTTATATATTTCCAATTTGCCACTTTCAATGGATGAACAAGAGCTTGAGAATATGCTGAAACCCTTTGGACAAGTTATCTCTACAAGAATACTTCGTGATTCCAATGGCACAAGTCGTGGGGTTGGCTTTGCAAGGTACTGTGGGTTGCATCCAGTGCTAATCTAATTCACTGCAGTGGGTCTCTTCCAAGTAGGACCTACTATTCCAGCAGCTGTTTTCTACATAACTTCAAAAATGGTGTGCCTCATGAATATTACCCACATCACATAGATATTCTCCCAGACCTTCCCATGAAAAAGAGCACAAAATTAAGATGTTAGAATTGCTTGTTTCACCAAAACATATTTGTTCAATTAACTAGTCATATACTGTTTGTATATATTCAGTATATGTTCATTAGGACTGGACTGGACAATTAGGCTAGCCATGAGTACTGTTGTTGACTATTTATTATTAATATTTTTGTTATCAACAGTAACAAGGGAAATATATGCCAAATCTAAGATACAAAAGTATGTTTCTGAATGGTAGCTGTGATTTTAGACTATGTTTACTCTAAATGAAGTGAATGCCGGGCCTTGGCTGCAGACATGTAGGGCTTTCTCATCTTCCTTTGCTATATTAAGGTGCAGTTTAAATTTCCTTACTGCCTTGCAGTTGAAAGATACGCCACTATTTACACAAAGGCAGTCTTGGAATACCCAAAACAACATTAGATCACTGTTAAACATCAGTTGGCTTCCAAACCTTACTTACTACCTTATTCTTTCACATTTTGAGCAGAATGTTATAGTTAAGGGTTCCTTTTACAAATGAAAACTCAGATAATTGCCTGTTACTGCCATATGCATACAAAGGTAATATACAAACTGAATTAGTAATTTTACACACAAGAATCCTGTACCTTGTCAGCCATGAATTTCCTTTTTCAGTTGATTGCAGCTTGTGATGAGACCATTGTATATGGAAATGGATGTTTATTTTTAGTCCATAAATTGCTCATAATAATTGAAGACTGACCATTTGGGGGGGAGACTGATTGAATGGGAAAAAATAGGAAATACTGATCAAATCCCAAGCTTAACTTTTTCAAAGACTACCTGCTTCTGAAAAAAAAAAAATGGACTTGAGCCCATGCTAGTTGTCAGAAAACTGTAGTTTGACCAGTTTGCATCTAATAGCAAACTCTTGTAAAGACAACGAGCCAGGAGGAAATGGAAAAGGAGGAAGAATCATGCAGGCCTTTGGCTTGTTCGCATAGTGCCAGACTCTGCTTTAACTTTATGGCTGAACAGAGCCAACGTCCTTCTTCATGTTGTCATTGTGGACACAAAATGCAGGATCCAAAGCATGGGCAGGTTATTAAAATGCAATTATATCTTTTATGCAGGATGGAGTCAACAGAAAAATGTGAAGCAGTGATTGCCCATTTTAATGGAAAGTTTATCAAAACACCATCCGGCGTTTCTGGTAGGTTTCCTGTTTTCTTTTAGAACTCTGCAGTGAATGAATTCTTGTAATTTGGTTGTACAAATAAGATCGGCTAAATTGTGTTGCTGTTGTGTCTCTGCACCCCCCCCCCCCCGAGGAGTGCTTTGTTTAGTGCTCCCACTCACCTGGCTCCCCAGGCCAGTGGAGTGACAGGAATAGAAGAGAAGGACTCAGTGGCACCTTTCTTTCCTGTCTGTCTTGAAGCCTTTCCCTCCTGTGCTGAATATCAGTAGAGCAATTCTGGTCCCACGGCCGATATACAGAGTAGCCCTTGAACATGCAAGCCCTGTTTTCATGTGAGCATTTTTGTGGACTGGGTAACTGTCACTCTGGCTGCCGGTACTTCTCTGATTGCAGTAACCCTTTCCCCATCCACTGAGTTCACATTTTGGGTGATTCCATACATGAGAAGCACTGAGAATACTGCAGCTCTGACATTTCTGTTTTTCAGCCCAAGTTTCCACATAGACATGCGCAGGGAGATTAAAGGTGCCATTATCTCAGCGATCAACTAGTCAACAGGCACCATCCTATTTACTGTAAACCAAGTGAGACCAGATAAAAGATCTGCATATAGGCTTCTTTTACTCTGAGTACAATAACATTCCAGTGCCTTAAAAGGAGTAAGTAACACCAGGTTACTGTTAGGCTTTGGGCAAAGATCCTTGTAACTGTAGTGAATAGTCCTGGATGAGATGTGTGCAGAGGGGTGGGGCAAATATTTGCCCAGAGCCTAACAGTCATCTGGTGTTACCTGCTCCTTTTCAAGCATTAGAATGTTATAAGGTTTCTCGGTTGACATAGTTAGTCTTTTTTTCTCTCAGTTTGTTAGCTTGTTCTGGAGCATACAGTGGAATCTTCATTAGAAAACTTGAGTCCCAAAAAAGAAGCAGATGCAACTGAACAATTTGAGATCTCTTTTCCTCGTACCCAAATTAACTTGTGTGTTACCAGTACAGAACTAGCTAATAAAAGCTGGCAAGACCTGCTTCTAATGCAAGTTCATTTTTCCATTTGCTGCTGTGAGAGTCCCAGCCCATCCTATGATAGACAGCTGTCAGCTAATGATAATTGACCATGTTGCTTACTAAGAGGGGCATTTAGATGCCAAGAGTTAACACCCTCTCATTATCAGCTTCTGCCAGGTACAAGCAGTATGTGGTTCCACAGGATTAAATTCATCCAACCAGTGAGCCAGAAATGAAGTACAGTGAAATACTGTGCCAAAAAAGGGTTTCTCTTCCATGTTCTGAAGGTAGAAAAAATGTAAACTATAGGGAGGAGGAGAGTAAGTAGCATACATTGCAGTATTTAGGCAAAAAAGAATTGGATGTAAAGTTAGTTCATGAATAGCTTTACCAGCTTTTATGTTCAAATTCCTCATGATTCTCCAAGTGCAAAATAGACATTTTAATTTTCCACATTCCTACAATCCCCAGCTGCTTTGCTAACTGAAGTTCTCTCAGGAGTCCGCCACGTTTGATGGGTTTGACTCTGACCAGCAGGATGTCCTGCTTGAGACTGAACAATAAAATGAGTATTTGTTGTATCATAGACTTTTACCATTCTTCAGAAACCAGTGGTTCTTGAGTTATGAGTGTTTGCCATTAGATGGCCACCGGAGAGGCATGATTGAACTAAAAGTATGGGCTGTGCTTGAGGGATTCATTCTGGGGCCTCCATGATTTAAGAATTCAAATCGGCACCCCCAGAAAATGTTTATGTTGATAAAGGGTGAAGCTACATACAGTCCAAGAAGACAAACTAAAAGGATTACAGTCAGCATCGCTGTTTTAAGGGACAAAACTGATCCTTCAAGCGGGGAAACCTGGGAGGCAGGGCAGGGGCTTTTTCAGACTGAAGTAGTGTCTGTTACTTAAACACTTCCCCTGCCATTTTTTCCTAAGGGGGAAAAAAAGTAAAGTGTGGCACTTGTGAATACTAACGTGGGTACTTCATTCCCTTGCCACTATGGGACTTGGTCTCCACAAACAAGTCCATACAGAAGGAGTACTATTAATAATTTCCAGTCTGTAGTAAGCACAGATACACACAGGTTTAATGCAGACAGGGAAGTCTAGATTTAAGATTGACTCTTAGAAGTTAATCTGGTGTTCTGTTTTATAAGGTTCAGACTCATTAACTAGATATAAAACTTCATGCTACAGAACAGGATGGGCAATTTGTAGTCCTCCAGATATTTTGCTCTGCATCTCTCAGCATCCCTAGCCAGCATGGGAGGAATCATGGGACCTGTAGGCAAGAAGGAACTGAAAGAGGGAAATTTGTATGGGCTTGGTCAATTTCATGCCCTCCTTTGATGAACAGAAGAAGGCTGAGTCATGGACTTTTTAAGGATTTCCTTCTGTGAGCTAGACTATGATATGCACATATCTAATACCTTATAAAATTTACACAAATATGCACTGAAAAAACACACGGTTCTAGCATGCAAAAGTTGCCAATTTGTGCAAAGCATAATTTGTGCAAAGTAGCTGGTTCCACAAATTATGCTAGAGTCACGCAGTTTTCAGATGTTTCTCTGTGCAGAATTCTTGGCAAATGTGCAGATCAAGATCCATTTAGAGATGTAAGTCTGAGAGCTTGATTCACACCACAGCAATGCAGTACCAGTGCAGGACTTAAAAAGAAAGTGGGGTGATTCATGAAAATTGGATTTTCATTTCCCCATCAGATTCTTCACATATCCTTCACTGCACATGTTGCCCACTTTTGCTCTATAGAAAGATTTAAAGGCATAAATGAGACTTAGCAGATGCTATCAGACAGACCTTCACAGGGTTTGGATTGTTGGTTATTTGTGGTTGACTTTGCCCTTGCAGATGATTCTGTGGATAAAAAAACCCTATGCATTCCTCTGACCAATGCATACTGCCTTCTGTCCAACCCTAGCTTCTCCTCAGTCCAGGGCACCAAATCATTCTCTGCTGTCAGAAATGCACTCCTGTATTTAGCATTCAACATCAGGTAGTTAACAAGAAAGATGCCAGTTTACAATAGCTCCACGAGGATCACCATAAAATGTAGAATGTACAATAAATAAAGATATAGGTACTTGATGTTCTGCCTTCATTCTGTCTCCTCTGAAATGCTTCCTTAGCATGCCCTAAAGACCTTACTCTGTATCCCTGCTGTTTTTGTCTTTCTTCCTTGTATGAAAAGGTTAAAATACTTTATTTTCTGTAATTCCTACTTTCCACTAGCAGAATAGATAGTCACTTATTCTCATGAAGCATTGCTGCTTTTCATGAGCTTCTCACCAATGACACTGTATTCCTTGCTGATACCACATGCGTGCGTACAAGTATCTTTGTTCCTTCATGTTCCTCTGCTGAAGACAATTGTTTATGTGGCTGCAGATGCCTGTGTCCTTTGATCTTAATACTGTTTCTTGGCTTTGTGAAAAGGGCCAGCTTGCTTGCATCCAAGTTCAGGAGTGGTAAGTTCTAGGCCAACTGTATTCTCCATTAGCAAAGCTTTCCTGGGTGAAAGCAGGTTATACATACAGTTAACATGCAAAATCATTCTGCAGTGCTGGAACCAAGAGACACAGGAGCTTGGGTAAATCAGTAAATATGAGCTGGATGGGAAGAGCACTGTAAGACTGAGAAGCCAGAAGATGGCGGTGAATAGGTGTGGGAGGAAGCACATCTGTTTTGAGAAAAGCATGTTGTCATAGTACAGCTTAGCTGAAATAACAGAGTTTGGCATGGAATACCAAATGGCTAAATAGGTTTATGGGAAAGGGAGCTGCACCTCCTGGATAGCATGAAGCAGATCAGGAAATGCTTGTACAAACAGTCCTTAGAAGACTAAACCAGCTGGATTTAAAAAACAAGATCTCTCTTTTTTTAAAGAAATTCTAGCAAACATGTATGTAAAAGCATTGCCTTAATATTAGGGGGGCACAAACTGAAATATTCAGAAGATTTATCTGCTCTGCTCTGACTAGCTCCAGCTACAGAATCAAACAAATGAAAGGCAAAGTACTTAGAGATGTTCAAGAAGTAGCAGTCAGTGGTAGGATAATCTGCTTGTGTCCCTAGAGCAAACTGGGCAACTTAGGCCCTCCAAATGGTTTGGTCTACAAATTCCTACAGGCATAACCAGCAGAGGCAATGGAAAGGAATCATGGGAGTTGTAGGCCAAAATGTCTAGAAGGTAGCAAGTTGCTTACTGCTGGTTTACAAACCAAGGAGATGCAACAATAGTCATAAAAGTATGAAAAACATGTTGGAGAATATTCCTTGCCAAAGGAGCTAGTCATGTAAGGAGAGATAAAATCAGTGGAAGCTATTAAGAAATAAAGACTACAAAAACAAAAAACCCTTTTGGCTATAGCCTCTTGTTTTCCTGGGAAACAAGGAAAAATACGGAACAGAAATGCCATCCTAGGAGGACTACGGCCCTTCTCTGGCATGCAGAATCACAAAATAATACCTCAAAAAGAGCAGCATTTACTGACCCCAACTGGACTGCCCTCTTCTTGGGAAGAGGGTCTGAAGAGGAGGAGCCTACTATAACCACATAGGCTCTGCCTGTGATTTAGGACCAGGGTTCTCCACACGCCTTCCCCCTTATAGCCACAGGGTCACTGGAAATCCTAATAATGTGGAGGAGACTGCCTGAACAGGGCAAGGGTACCACCCCAGAGGATTGTTTCAACATCAAAAGTAAGGCATTTTTACAAAATCTTCCACCTATATTTAAGGTTGGGGAAAGGGAGATGTGTCAGATGTGTTTCTCCTTTCATTCTTATTTAAAAGCCTAAGAGCTGGAGTACTTTAAAGCTACTTCTTGCTGAACCTGTTCTGAATAAACTCTAGGAGGAGAAATGGAGCATTTTCTTTATATTGTAATAGTTTTGTTCAGTGAAGCAAACCAGTTGCAACTTACTTGGGCTCAGAGTTCATGAAACCTTCATTGAACATACAGGAAGGATTTTGACGGCTGTTAAG